GTTGATCAGACCTTTTTTCATTATACCTTTATACGATATAGCACTAGAAAACGGATCACACAGCTAGACGCATCACCAATCATAGGTAAGAGTTTAACATAGTCAAGTGGCATTTGTCATTTGATTGGCTGAACTAAGTTACGGCCTCAGGGTGACTGGATGGTAGTTAGCAGTGGTGCGGGGACCTCCAGGTTGCATCTATAACTACTGAATGTTAGAATAGCTCCTCGGGAACCACCACTAATTGTACCCCGTAATCTACACTTGGATATACCTGTCAGATAAAGCTGTGTGACGCTGAGCATTTCACTTGCACCAGAGTCCAATGAAACTGCGCGATGTTCTTGAGGCCGGCTTACCCGATCCAATGGATCAGCCGAAGTGCAGTACAATTAAAGACAATAAGCCAGGTCACGTGAAATAGCTATGAGTTTGTTTCAACAGAACAGATTGTTAACTTCCAGTTGTTATCAGTCTTTAAAAAAGAAATAGAGAAAAACAACTCTGAAGGGAAGGGAAATTGTGGACATTTACCAGTCTAATGCACAAAATGTCTTATTTACTCTGTATACTTCATGCGCCTTCAGGAATAAAGACTAGCTGGTCATCGCGGTTCATTTCCGTCATATTCATGAATATTCTTGATTTCATGGAGCTACTGCACTGCCAAATGTGAATCACATATTCTTATTTCATTTTGCGTCCATGCTCGTCGGTGCGTAAGAAGACTTGCGACTCTTACTCCGAATAAAATGTCCCATCCATAGAGTTGTCGAGTGCAACCTAACCCGAACTATGACCATGTGAGTTTTGCCGTTTAGCGCGTGCGAAATATCTCAGCTCCATCTGTCCCCTGACCCAGCCGATTCACTTTCACTATAAAGAACAATTTCGCATAACCAAATAGTCGTCAACCTTAGAATCGATTCGAATTTTGTACCGTTTCTTATCTATCAATTTCATCTATTTGGTTCTTGTTTGTCAACTCTTGGATCGACCGTTTTTAGTAGTACATGGAGTGCCCTCCCCCACCCCTAACACATATCAGTACTGTGATCACACGTGTAGCTAATTTTTTTACGATAAGTTTGTCAAAATGCAATCGTGCATCTGTTGACTAGAAATTGTCTATATTGCCAAACGTGATCTGCTGAATTCATTGTGTTGTTTAAACAATATGACACCCGGTTAGTCTACACGGATCGATGCAATCATAATGAGAGAAAGTTTTGGTCTCTGGTTGCAATAGATACCTGCGTTCGTAACACTGTCAAATATTAATCACCTGAACCTGAATGATTTAAAAGTACATGATACACATGAACGTAAACAAAATCGTTTGAAATTCAGGAGTTCGTATTCAATTTCAGTTACTTCTCTTTAATTAATTGTGTTTCATCCATTAGGCATTACTCATTCCGCATTGTATTATAGTACTGTTGTGTAAAATAAAGTGGTTTAGATGTATCTTATTTTGGTATATTAAATTCAGATTTAAGATTTTGAATAACACCGTAGACGCCCCTTTTACCTAGCTCCATTTCCGATCATCTGACTCAGATTTCTGAACTATTTGGACCCCATCTTTCTGGTAGACTGGTATTTACTTTGATAGAATAGATGATAATTCCCTGTTTGATAACGAATAGCAGCTAATTGAATTGACAGATTGGATTGTTATGATCCACAACATACCAACGAGACGGGGTGGCAATGGTCAAGTGGTTAAAATCATCAAAATTGTGAAGTGGGTTTTCTGAATTCAAACTCCGCCAACTATACCTATCCTCCCTTTTATGTATTCTCCATCAGCCGCGGTTCCTATCCTCGAAGTTGATCGTGTATTTTCATGCTTAATAAACAAAAAGAAGCAAGAACATTCGCGAAGAACGTCAGTTTTGATTGTAGATGATAAATCCTTTTTTGCGTATACATATGCAAGATGTATTACGATAAGAATGATAGAATAGAGGAGTTCCAGACACCTGCACACGTACTTGATGAGCAGCAGCAAACACGAAACTGGTTGTGCCGTTGCAAAATAGTCTTCTGCGGACATTCAGGTACTGCTCGTTATCTAACACTTCAAAAGTCAGCTCGTATGTGGAGTGTTTTGGGGTTATCCACATTTAATCTCCTGAACTGATTGCAAGTTGACTTCAAAGGGGCACGAAGTTCAAATAATATTTCCCTTCGGATACACGAATGAGATGTTTCTAGCAGCACTTTTGTTTCTAACTTAATTACTTTTATCAATCGCGATGGGATTAGAGCATCATTTTCTTTCAGTATCATGGTGTCAAGTATACAATAATGCTGTAGTTTTTCTGCATTCATCCGAATATAGATCACTGGCTGGTATTTCTCTATATAAATTTGTCCGAATTGAGAGGGGAATGTTAACCTCCAAGAACGGGAGTTTATTTGTTTCACTGGTTCAATAAATCTGCGATTTCTTCGTACAGCATGGAATCATCAATCTTTAATCAAAAGGTAAATATCTAGGCTAAACAACAGTAAAGAAAACTGTATGGTATCATTTGATCTTAATTTTTCTTCCATGATATTTAAGGCGCCGATTCTCTCACGAGTGATCAAGTAATATTCTGTATTTGAGTAGACCGGCGATCACCGTACGTTACTCATCATCAAAGCTTGATATCAACATATCACTACCACTTCTTTCGCATGCGATCGCAGTATTGCGCATTTGAGATATGGTTTTCGTTGTTGTTTGTACGGGTATGATGCTCAAGAAGGACATGGTGTACTGAAACCGTGAATAAATGAGGCACATTTGACGACAAATTGCGAACCATACACGGGTCATGAGATAATTTTTTTTTGAAATAAATTATTTTTTTTATAATTTTTGCAAGTGACAAGATGCTATCAACCAATGTTCCCCCCGCAGTATACATGGTCCTTAAACTACCACCACGTGTTGGTTTCTTCAATTCCTGATTCAGACACCAGACATCAGGGGGGAGGGGGGTTACTGGCTGGTTCATTGCTCTCAGGAGAGTACAGACTCATGAACGATATATCAACCGATCAGGTGGAGCACGTCAATGCTCATCCCGACCTGTATTTCAGAATTTTTCAATCCCGTTTGCGTGAGAAAATATAATTTTCAATATTTTCCACTGACTTTTTTGTTTTGGTTATCACCACCGTAAGTTTGGCTATTTTTCTTGCACCGTTAGCAGTAAAAACGTTTTCCCACCAAGTCTGATTTCCATTCTATTGGTATTCGGGTCACTGGTAAATTCGAAATGATCCTCAGAGCTTTTTGGGCAGTTCGGTAATTACAACAGATATCTGACTTAGACCGTACCAGAATAAATTTTTGAAGAGGAGCTGAAAATGACGCAGTTTGAAAATGCAATTGACAAGTTTCGGTCGCAGTCTGTGGTCCAGTTATTATTGTTATTGTTATTATTGTTATTATTATCATTGTTATTGTTGCTGTTGTTGTTGTTGTTGCTGTTGTTGTTGTTAACCGTTATGGTAATGTTTGGTTCTTCGAATCAATCAACCAACCACAAACGCGTCTAACTGTGGTACCAGGAGTGTGTTTTCTTCAGGTGGAAAATTGCGTAAACACGACACAGAAGAGCACTGTGATCTTCATCGTCGGATATTCACTATCAGCAAGGTGAAAAATAAACATTGAAAAAACTACTCACTGGAGTAGTACAGTTAGTACGCAACTTTCAGGGTTCTTGTCCTCAAGGCTAGTTGAGATGCTTGTTCAATCACAGAATTGCTCCGCGATTGAATCTAATCTCCTCTCCATATACACTCATATACACTAACCACATTTCCTTCGTTATTCAACTTATGATTCATGGGGTCCCCATAGTATTACCAAGTGATCAGCCCTTCAGCTTGAGGTCAGCACTCGCGATTGGGTGCACTTACAAGCGCGTGCACCCAGCAGCACGTACGCACGCACACATATACATGACTGCACACTCACACAAACATACACACGTACATGCACAGTTATGAAGCAATGAAGAAGACAGCACTCATGTGACTTGGTAAGAAGAACGCATTCGGCTGACTGATGATAAGCTTGCCTGATAGAATAGCGTTGACGGGTGGAGATGGTGATGGTGACCACACTGTTCTAACTGGTACCATCCACATCGACAGTAGCGGAGGGGGCGGTAGCGGTGGTGGTGGTAGTGGTGGTGGTGGTGGTGGTGGTGGTGGTGGTGGTGGTGGTGGTGGTGGTGGTGGTG